GTTTGGTTAGCCAGGAAACTCAATTTGAAAGCAATGGGTTTTACTTTGTTTTGGTGTTTGTTAGTTCCCAGAGTGACGGGTGCTCGAGCCGACTTACGACCCAGACTAGGGTGACACTATTGTTTGATGAGGATAACGGACTTGCTCAAGGTCTAGTGTATTTCTTACACTCCAAAAAAGTGGCAGGGTCTATTTCTCGTATCGAATTCTGTAACCCTGTTTGTCGCCTCCGTCATTCATCCCATGATGCCTATATAAACAAGTAAACATCCGTCAACGCCGGGCCAAATGCTACCGATAACCGCCTCTCACCAGCCGCGTCTCGGCATGTTATACACTGTTGTTGTACAAATTGTACCTTCGCTCGCTTCTCCGGTAAACAAATGACACTTAGCCCTTGCTCTTGGTGTTGAGAATGAGACCGACGATGAGGCTGGAGATGATGGTTAGCACTAGCAGAGTCAGTTGTTGAGAGGTAGAACATACCCATAAAGACCAAGAACTTCTCCGAAAATGAGAATAAGCACCATGCCGACAAACACTCTCGACTGTTGCATGTACGATCTGACACCCTTGTCGCCAACAACGCCAATGCAGTAACCGGCGGCGAGACCTGTGAGTCCGACTGACAGCCCACAGGCAAGATGCATGAAGCCGTTGAACAGGCTGTAGTTGGCACCCCCGGCATCAGGTGGCGCAAGGTCCTGGGCGATCAGGACTGAGATGACGAGGGCGTAGACGGCGATGATACCCGACATGACGACGGGGATCAGACACTTCATGATCAGGTCTGGCCTGAAGGTGCCCACACCCGCGATACCAATGCCGGCCTTTGCGGTACCATATGCTGCACCCATGCCTGTGATGACGATGTCTTGTTAGTATGTCTTCGGATTCGCTGAGGATATTTCGGTGGAGAGTTCGAGAGATGGGTTGAACATACTGCCAAAGATCATGGCTGCAGCGATGCCGGCCTGGAAGAGAGTCTGTCAGCAAGCTTGCGATATGCGACAGCCAACAACACCGGGAACTGGACTTACCATTCCGAAGAAGGGCGCGAACTTGGGGGAGAGCTCCGAGTCAGCCATGGTGAGATGTCTCCAATTCAAGACGGATTCGGGTTGTAGATGACGGCTAGAAGCGAATGGGCGACGATAAAGGTGGACGTCGGCCAGGCGTAGGGGTTTGGGAGAGCTCGACGTTGTTGTCTCTGCCTCCAGTGCACTGCACGACAAACAGCACGGCACAGCTTGGATGTTACGAAGCCGCCAAGGCCAAGCACCACCCGCAGCTTGGGGGAGCCGTTCAGTGCTAACCTGCCAAGATCAGTCTTCCCTTTGCTTCAGGTGACGGCGCACGTGATATTTCAGTTGGCTTGGAATACCTTGTTTACCGTTACACAGGGTCACAGTGCCACAGAGCTTGATTTGGGGCCACCTGCATCATCGCCAACCAGACGCGATAAGCAAAACAGTCCGGAAACTCTCGCTCCCCTGGTTGGATAAACACGCGTCGTTTTTTTTGTTTTTTTTTTGCACCTGTGTCTGTGAGACTCACCAAAACTGGTTCAGCTGACCACATGGAATATACGGGATAATGCGAGAAATTAATCATGAGGTGCTTATCATGTTGACCTAAGGTAAGGTAACTAACTGTAATTCGAGATGGCCTTGAAATTTAGGCCCAAGGTGGAAGAGACAGACAGGGGCGGCGGGATGCTGCGCCCACTCTCCGGCATCCACCCTTGAGGCCCTGTAAGGACCACTTTGGCCTCGCTGGGTGTGAATGCTCTCCTTTCTGTCGAGAGATTGATCGTGTCGCCATCTGATATCGTGTCTGCCCATTTCCATTCTCTTGAACAGTCGGTGAGGGATGCGTCCGTACATCTAATCGGCCGCTGTGCACCCCCGAGCCAGCCACTCAGAAGCTACCGGCTCCTAGGCCCATCCGGCCAAAAATTGTCGTTAGGGGGCAACGTCCAATAACGTCAGCTCTGGCCGTCCGTGACACCGACCGGAAACAATCTCGACGAACGGCAGCCCTTCTCCGACGACACACGTTCCTTTACCTGCCATTACCTACAATACTCCAGCGATAGCCAGCCGTTGGCAACGGATACACCGTGGTTGTCAGGAGCACGCTGGGCTTTTGTAGCTGGCCGAGACCATCGTTTGCCTGCCCTGTGAGGTGCGACATCTAGACCAGACCGTTCCCCGTCGAGGTAGCCGGCGAGACGTCGACACCGAGATACGAGTAAGTTTATTTCCTTCCCCACTTTTTGCTTCCATTCTCGAACAGGAGGGCATCCCGCCGCCCATCTACTAGAATACCCAACCCAGATTCGGCTGCTGATGGGATACACACGGCAGATATGGCCGATTATCAACCGGACCGAGTGCCACAGTCGAGGCATCACCAGCAGGGACATGCCGACACCTACCAGCGAGATGCCGCCTGTCTGGCAAGATCTTTGGCGCCGCACCGCCCCCGGGCCGTTCGCAGACTATGACCTCGTCCGTCCACCCGCCCGAATTCATGCAACCGGGTCGCACCCAAACTATGACATCCACTTCGGGCATGTCGGACATGCAGCGACCTCCGCCTCAACGGCCACCTCATGGCGGGGGAGGAGGAGGAGGGGGAGGAGGATACGGCGGGCCTATGCCGCGACAGCGTAACGACCGAGGAGGGTACGACTACTACCAGGCGCAAGGTCAACCGCGCTCGGCTTCGACCGGAAACCAGGTCCCGTCGCCCCAGTTTCTTCAGCAACAGCAACAACGGCGCCCCTTCCCCGGAAGCCCGCCGCCGCAGCAGGGGCAACAGGGCTATCCGCCTCAGCACTATAACCAGCAATATCAGCAGCAACCACCGCCGCGCAGGCCACCTCAGGGGTCGCCGCCCCAGGACTATCACAGCCCTCAGCAAACCGCAACCCAACGGTTCTACCAAGGCGGCAGACCCGCTCCGGCGATGAATGCCGACCCCTATCGATCTCAGTCTCTGGCGAGCTATCCGAGAGGACCCCCGATGTATCAACCTCCTCCGCAACAATACCAGCAACAAGCCCCATCTGCCAACGCCCTTCGCAATGCTCAGTATAGTAACCAGCACTCGGCGCGGACCACCGCACAGGGCCGGGTTGTGCCCGAGAGACACTTTGAGGATCGTTCCAATACCATGACCGGTTATCCCTCCCACGATCGAGATTCTCACCAGACGATGAGTGGCCGCGTGATTCCGAATAGAAGGCCGGCGGGGCGCGACAGTAGCGGTGGTCATTCGGTGACGGCAGACTATCTGGCCAATAGCTCGCATAGCTCGCCAAATCCAGGGCATGCTATGGGGTACGGCCCCCCCGGATCTCAGACAAGGACGGTCAGTATGGCCTCCTCAGTTGGAAACGACAGCCAAAGGACAATGTCGATGGCCAGCACCATCACACCTTCGATAGCCCCAACAGACAGAAGCGACACTACGATTGTTCAGAGGTCATCTGTAGGCAGTGAGAGACCACCGACAGCCAGAATTCGGCCACCAATTGTGTACCCGGCTCTCCTATCTCGTGTTGCCGAGTGTTTCCGGCGAAAGATCGTGGTGGGAGACAGGACCAAGAACGAACTGACATACACCAACGCCTTCAGCGGTGCCGAGGCGGTTGATGTTTTGTCTTACATTATCAGAACCACAGATCGAAACCTGGCTTTGCTACTGGGGCGCGCACTCGACGCACAAAAGTTCTTTCACGACGTCCAGTACGAACATAGGTTGCGCGACTCGACCTACGAAATGTACCAGTTCCGCGAGACGATGTCGGACGAAGCGAACGAGGAACCGGGGGTGAACGGTGTCTTTGTACTGCTCTCCGAGTGTTACTCTCCAACTTGCACCAGAGATCAACTGTGCTATTCTATTGCATGCCCAAGACGACTGGAGCAGGTGTCTAGGCTCAAGCTGACTATGGGTCCTGGTCTCAAAAGAGAAGGAGAGGCCACGGTTGGTGACGATGATGTTGATCAAACAGACGAACAAAGACTCTGGATCAACACCGTTCCCAAGGAAATTGCTGACAGCATCGGAGATCGTGAAAAGAAGAGACAGGAGGTTATTGCGGAAGTCTGCTACACGGAAAGAGATTTCGTCAAGGACTTGGAGTATCTTCGTGACTTTTGGATCTTCCCACTGCGTGGAAAGATCAACGGCATGTCGCCACTTCCACCACAGAGACGAGAAAAGGTGGTCAAGACGATTTTCAGCAATATCATCGATCCGCCAAGTATCCACGCCGTCAGCTCCAAGTTTGCCAGGGCACTTACGGAGCGTCAGCAAAAGACGCCGGTTGTCAAAAACATTGGTGACGTGTTCCTGGAGTATGTGCCGCACTTCGAGCCGTTCATTCACTACGGTTCCAAGCAGCTGGAGGGCAAGCACGAGTTCGAAAATGAACGGGCCATAAACAAGGACTTTGCGCTTTTTGTGGATGAAATTGAACGGCGGAGGGAGTCGAGGAAACTGGAACTGAACGGTTACCTGACAAAACCGACGACGAGGCTGGCCAGGTATCCGTTGCTGTTGGAGAACGTCTTGAAATACACTGAAGACGGCAACCCTGATAAGGAGGATATTCCCAAGGTGCTGACCTTGATCCGTGATTTCCTCAGCAGGGTGAATGCCGAGTCTGGAAAGGCTGAGAATCGTTTCAACTTGCGCAGACTTCACGAGAACCTCAAGTTCCGTCCCAACGAAAGGGTCGACTTGAAGCTCACACATGAGGGCCGTGAGATGGTGTACAAGACTCAGTTCAAAAAGACGCCGACGGAAACGACAGCCGATATCACTGCTTACTTGTTTGACCATGCTATCCTTTTGGTTCGGATCAAACAGGTGGGCAAGACGGAGGACATTAAAGCGTATAGGAGGGTAAGTGATCGGGACAGGATGTTCTTAGACACAGGGCTAACATGGCTCTAGCCGATTCCGCTGGAGCTTCTTTCCATCAAGGAGATGGACGAGGTTATTCCGCAGTCTGGTTCCGTCAAGAGGACATCGTCTAGTTTACTGCCTCTTCGCGCGGCCAATGACACCAAAAAGGGCGAATGGCCCGTCACTTTCCGGCATCTAGGCAAGAACGGTTACGAGCTGACGCTGTATGCTTCGAGCCAGTCCGGACGACAGAAGTGGCTCGAGTTCATCGATGCTGCGCAGTCCAAGCTGAGAGCCCGTGCCGACTTCTTCAACACGACTGTCATCTCGTCTGGCTTCTTCTCGCCCCAGAACAAGATCAACTGCATCACGCCTTTCGATGGCGGTCGTAAGCTTATTTACGGTACCGACAGCGGCATCTACATGTCGGATCGTCGCGCCAGGGACGGAAACGCAGCACCGCGCCGTGTGATAGACGTGACGGGTGTGACGCAGGTTGATGTCCTGGAGGAATATCAGCTTCTGCTGGTTCTCTCCAACAAGTCGCTGTTGTCGTATCAGCTCGGCGCGCTGGATCCCAACGAGCCGCTCTCGTCCAAGAGGGCCAAGAAGATTCAGAACCACTGTAACTTCTTCAAGTCGGGTATCTGTCTGGGGAGACATCTTGTCTGTTGCGTCCGAAGCAGCGCGCTGTCTACCACGATCAAGGTCTACGAACCGAACGACGCCATGTCCCGCACCAAGAAGCAAAAAGGTCTCTCCAAAATGTTCAACGCCGGCCAGGACGAACTCAAGCCGTTCAAGGAGTTTTACATCCCCACCGAATCGACGTCGGTCCACTTCCTCAAATCCAAACTGTGTGTCGCCTGCGCTAGAGGGTTTGAAGTTGTTTCTCTCGAAACGCTGGAAACGCAATCGCTGCTCGACCAAGCCGACACGTCACTGGATTTCGTGTCGAGAAAGGAAGGGGTCAAGCCTATTCACATTGAGCGCCTTAACGGGGAGTTTTTGCTGAATTACAGCGAGTTTTCGTTTTATGTGAACAGGAACGGGTGGAGGGCGAAGCCGGAGTGGAGGCTGGACTGGGAAGGGTCACCGCAGGCGTTTGCGTTGAGCTACCCGTGGATTCTGGCGTTTGAGCCGAACTTTATCGAGCTGAGGCATTTGGAGAATCTGTCGGTGCATATTGTGCCGCATAGGAACCTGAGGATGCTGCATTGCAGCACGCATGAGGTGAGTTTCAACTCTGGTGACACTTGACATTGAACTTTACAAGTTTGTGTTGAGAGAGAATGGCTGGGAACTAACGGGTTGTACAGATCTTGTTTGCGTACGAGGATGAGCAAGGACAGGATGTGGTTGGGGCGATTGACTTTTGGAAGAGCCAGAGGGGGAGTATGTACCCTGTTGATGGGGCGGCGCCGGCAGCGTTGCCGTCGATAGAGGGGGGTGGCCAAGGGGCGGCGTCGGGTACTTCGGGGCAGCAGCAGCAGCAGCCGCCTAGGTTGACGGTGAATATTTAAGTTTATCAAGAAGGGAAAGGGAAAGTAATATTCCGGTTTGGAAGTCTTTGAGTTCAAAGTAGGGGGGGGGAGCGGTTTGCAGACGGGGTTTGAAGGAAGAGGAGCAGTAGCAGCAGGGTTGGAATATCTGGAAGAGTTTTCTTTTTCTTCAAAATTTCGGGAAGTTTCTATTGTAGTGTGGTTGGGATCGTGTAGTGATGTTTTTGTCTGTCTAACTTTTTTTTTCTGTTTGTTTTCTACATAACTCACAAGTCCAAGGTACAGGAGTGGGCAGTCATCTTTGGATGGGA